GCCAAGGGTTTCATCCGGCCAAGCACGTCGCCGTATGCAGCGCCGATACTGTTCACGTCGAAGAAGGACGGGGGCCTACGAATGTGCATTGATTATCGGGCGCTAAATCGGGTCACGATAAAATCGCGTTACCCGATCCCGCGAACCGACGATCTGCTCGATCAACTTCGCGGAGCTCGCTACTTCTCGAAAATTGACCTGCGAGGAGGCTACCACCAAATTCGCGTGTTCGCCGACGATTGCCCGAAGACCGCTTTCCGCACCCGCTACGGCAGTTACGAGTTCACAGTGATGCCGTTCGGCTTGACAAACGCGCCCTCGACGTTCCAGCTCACCATGAACGGCATTTTTCGGGACATGCTGGACAAGAAGGTCATCGTGTACCTGGACGACATCCTGGTGTACAGCGCGACAAAGGAAGACCATTTAAGGGATTTAGAGGAGGTGTTCCGGCGGTTGCAGGGAAATCGGCTGATTACCAAGGGGTCTAAGTGTGAATTTCTGAAGCTGGAATTAGAGTTTCTGGGGCACGTGGTTTCGGGCGACGGAATTAAAATTGACCCGCGTAAGGCCGACGCCATCGTTAAGTGGAAGCCGCCTACTAATATCCCTGAGTTGCAAAGTTTTTTGGGGTTTGTTAACTACGTTCGTCGTTTTGTCCCCAACATGGCAGGGATAACCACGCCACTGACCGACCTGCTGCATCGCGACAGTGATTTTCGGTGGGGGGAGAGGGAGCAGTCCGCCTTCGACGCCCTCAAAAATATTTTGCAGTCACCCCCTGTCCTCCGCCTCGCCGACCCATCTCGACCGTTCGAAGTCATCACGGACGCCAGCGATTTCGCCATCGGCGCCGTCCTGCTGCAGGATTTCGGCCAAGGGCTGCAACCCATCGCTTACGAGTCACGCAAGATGCACCCGCCCGAACGCAACTACCCGATCCACGACAAGGAGATGCTAGCCATCGTCCATGCCTTCAAAGTCTGGCGCTGCTACCTCACGGGAGCGGACGTGACCATCCGAACCGACCACAAATCGCTACAGTACATGCGCACGCAACCCACTCTCAACCCGCGACAAATCCGGTGGTTGGACTTCCTCGAGTCCAATTTTCGGTACACCATCACGTACAAAAAGGGCGCCAACAACATCGCCGACGCCCTCACACGACCATCCATGCAGAACGCGGCGGTACTAATCGCCCACACCAACCCGATACTAACAGGATTATTCACCCACGGCTACAAGATCGACCGATTTTTTCGGAACTCGCAACAGCAGGCTGCTACACTACACGGCAAGTACTACCTAAAAGCCGGTACGAACCGGATTTGGGTACCAACATACCAACCTTTACGGGAGCTGCTGACGCAGGAGGTTCATGACTCCAACCTCTCCGGGCACTTCGGCACCGACAAAACACTGAAGCTGTTGCAACGCAATTATTACTGGCCGGACATGCTCACCGACGTGCAGCGCTACGTGTCAACCTGCCCGACCTGCCAAGCAATGAAATCGTCAAGACAACGACCAGCTGGGCTGCTGCAACCCCTCGAGCCACCCGAACGACCGTGGCAACAGGTGACGATGGATTTCGTCACGGGGCTACCGGCTGGCACAAGCGGCAACGACTCGGTGCTGGTCGTCGTCGATTGCCTAACGAAAATGGCGCATTTCGCCCCATGCCGCACGACGATCACAGCCGAAGATACAGCAAAACTGTTCATCTCCACCGTCGTACGCCTACACGGGTTACCTTCGGCGATCATCAGCGATCGAGATCCGAAATACAACTCCGACTTTCGGAAATCCAGGCTCGGTCCGATGACCTCGCCTTCCAAGCCACTACCGCGTCGCCTTCGGGTTTTCCAACCCCGAACCTGCACCCGACCACTTCGCGACATCGCGAACCCAGCCTAGCTAGCCTCGCTATATTATGCCTAGGCCTCGTTGTTCAATCAGACGTTGTAATCACTTCCGCATTATTGAGTTCTGTGCACTCTCTTCTTTCACAACTCATAACAGGTTGGGTGGGTCACGGGGTTCAGGTTATCACTTGAGCCACTCCAAATCAGTTTGTAGACCAAAACTGAAGCGAGTCATGTGAGCCAGAATTCACTCGACAGCCAGCATATCCTTCACGTAGACTAGAAGTAATAGAGAATAGCAGCCATACATAACCAGCAACGCCCAACCCTCCCACTACGTAATAGCGACACCGTCCGCTCAAGTCTCTAACCATCGTCACCCCTTTCCGCTCCGCACTCTCAGCTGCATTTCCCCAACGCGATCCGTCGGCTAGTGCTCTGCGCTCGTCGCCGCGTTATGCTTGCGGAATCGACAGGCTTCGGAACCCTCGTTCTCCCCGCTTTCATCGTCGCTGCGTTCTGCCTCGCTTAGGGTTTGCGCTCTCGCGAGGTCGCCGAGCAGCTCGATATCGCCGAGCTCGTCGCCAGCTTGCATCAAGGCGGTGAGCTAGTAGTTTCGCGCCACCCCTTTATCCGCCTCTTTCCAGTCCCCGCCTAATGACAACCGGACGACTTGCATTCGTCCTGAGAACGGGAGGAATTCACCGGTGTGAGAAAAGCTCAGCGCCCCGCGTTCATGTTTGAGCTGAAATATCCTGCTTTCCGAACGCCGCTTAGTGCTAATCTCACTCATATCCCAAATTCCAGGCGCCGCTTACATCGTACGGCCACCATAACCCCCCAGCGGCGAACTGATTTCAGCACAGCGGCTTCCCTTCCCGCTTTCCGCACGTCGCTTTTATCGGCAGCGCATTAATATCCCGCTTTCCGCCTACATCGGTCAGCCTAGAACGTAAAAATCCCCTCCAACCGCGCATTGCTTTAATCGTAGCGCATACACTGTCCCGCTTTCGGCTCGCCGCAATCAGCCTAGCGCCTTCATCGTACGCTATCCGCTCACCGCGTACCGCATGTGCACTCGTCCGCGGGATTCCCACCGTTTCCCCTGCAACGCCCCGTCTTGCTACAATCTCTGGTGGGCGCTTATCGCCTCTGCTCGCAGCTCGACGGTCAACTGGCGCTCAGCATGAGGCGGTCGCAACTAGCCATGACACTTGCACTCCGGTTTTACCGCCCCTCCCAAACTCCCCTCATGCCGCACTGCGTATTTTAGTCATTCACCCTGTCGCACACATACTCCCCGCTCCTCCACCTCCTCTTTCGCGTTCCCCTCTCAACTGTCAGCCTTATGCCGTGCTCTCCCAGATTCCACGGGGTCTCTCTTACTTCCATCTCCTCCTCATCCCGCATTCTGCACTTTTACCCTTTATTACTCCGCCTTGATCCCTTTTCACCCCTCTCGTATCTGCGCCTTGATCCCGTCTCACCCCTCTCGTATGTCCCCCTTGCTCCCTTCTCTCCCCCCCTTGTGATGCCTGCCTTGCTCCCTTCTCTCCCCTCTCACATCTCCGCCTTTCTCCCTTCTCTCCCCCCCTTGTGATGCCTGCCTTTCTCCCTTCTCTCCCCTCTCACATCTCCGCCTTGCTCCCTTCTCTCTCCTCTCATATCCCCGCCTTTATCCCTTCTCTCTCCTCTCCTTGCTTCGCCTTGCTCCCTTTTATCCCCACTCGTCGCTCCGCCTTGCTCCCTTCTCTTCCTCCCTTGTGACCCTTCCTTTCTCCCTTCTCTCCCCTCATATCTCCGCCTTGCTTCCTTCTCTCCCCTCCGATATCTCCACCTTGCTTCCTTCTCTCCCCTCCGATATCTCCGCCTTGCTTCCTTCTCTCCCCTCCGATATCTCCGCCTTTCTCCCTTCTCTCCCTTCTTGGTACTCCGCCTTGCTCCCATCTCTCCTCTCTCGTCACTCCACTTTGCTCCCTTCTCTCTCCTCTCATATCTCTGCCTTTCTCCTTTCACTCCCCTCTAATATCTCCGCCTTGCTCCCTTCTCTCCCCTCGTGTGACCCTGCCTTGCTCCCTTCTCTCCCCTCTCACATCTCTGCCTTGCTCCGTTCTATCCCCACTCGCCGCTCCGTCTTGCTCCCTTCTCTCGCCTCTCATATCTCCGCCGCGCTCCTTTCTCTCCCCTCTCGTATCTCTGCTTGCTCCCTTCTCTCCCCTCTGATATCTCCGCCTTGCTCCCATCTCTCCTCTCTCGTCACTCCGCTTTGCTCCCTTCTCTCTCCTCTCATATCTCTGCCTTTCTCCTTTCACTCCCCTCTAATATCTCCGCCTTGCTCCCTTCTCTCCCCTCTCACATCTCTGCCTTGCTCCCTTCTCTCCCCTCTCACATCTCTGCCTTGCTCCGTTCTATCCCCACTCGCCGCTCCGTCTTGTTCCCTTCTCTCGCCTCCCATATCTCCGCCGCGCTCCTTTCTCTCCCCTCCCGTATCTCTTGCTTGCTCCCTTCTCTCCCCTCTGATATCTCCGCCTTGCTCCCTTCTATTGATTCTCATAACTCCGCCTTGCTCCCCTCTCTCGCCTCTCATGTCTCCTCCTTGCGCCCTTCTCTCCACTGTCATTTCCGCTTTGCTCCTTTCTCTCCCCTCCCATATCCGCCTTGCTGCCTTCTATCCCCTCGCGTCATGCGCCTTGCTCCCAACTCTTACCTGTACCCTGTCCCCATACATAAATCCGTTGCTCCCTTCTCTACCCTCTCCCCTCCCTGCCTTACTCCCCTCTCTACCCCATGCATAGCTCTGGCACGAGGGAATAGCAAGCGAGCAGAGGTGGGATAGCAAGCGAGGAGGCGGGATAAAGGCATGCGAGCAGGGGCGAGGGAATAGCAAGCGAGCAGAGGTGGAATAGCAAGCGAGGAGGCACGGGGGAATAACAAGCGAGCAGAAATGGGAGAATGGCATGCGAGCAGGCGCGGGGGAATAACATACCCCCCCCTTTCCCTCTTCCGTATTCCATGATACCATATCCGCCTTGCTCCCTTTTATCCTATCCCAAATCCGCCTTGCTCCATTTTATCCTCTCCCATATCCGCCTTGCTCCATTTTATCCTCTCCCATATCCGCTTTGCTCCATTTTATCCCCTCCCTTCTCTCTGCCTCCTGCCTTGCTCCCTTTTATCCTCTCCCATATCCCCTTCACTCCCCTCTTGTCTCTCCGCCTTGCTCCCTTCACTCCCCTCTTGTCTCTCCGCCTTGCTCCCTTCACTCCCCTCTTGTCTCTCCGCCTTGCTCCCTTCACTCCCTTCTTGTCTCTCCGCCTTGCTCCCTTCACTCCCCTCTTGTCTCTCCGCCTTGCTCCCTTCACTCCCCTCTTGTCTCTCCGCCTCTCGTATCTCTACCTTGCTCCCTCCCACCCCCTCTCGTAGCAGTGCCTTGCTCCCTTCAACCCCCTCTCATCTCCCCGCATTTCCGAGCAGGCGCGGGGGGATATGAAGCGAGCTGAGGCGGGAGAAAGGCATGCAAGTCGGCGCGGGGTTTAGCAAGCTAGTCTCTGCGGGAGAAAGGGCGACGAGCAGGCGCGGGGAAATAAAAAGCGAGCAGAGGCGGGAGAAAGGCATGCGAGCAGGATAACGCTGTCCACCGCTGTCCAGGATTGAGTAGCGTAAAAAACGTGAAGGGTGCAGCGAGGAGGCGATAACATGAAGGTGATAGGGGGATGGGAGCGAGAAGGTGAGAGGGGTAGCAGCGATCTGCGAGGGAGGTCAACAGACGGAAGGCGGGGGTAGATTAGCTGCAAGAGACGCAAGGAATGGATGGGGCTGTGTGGGGGATAAGCAGTGAGAAGGGGGTGGAGGAGGGGGGGGCGGTTAGGAGTGGGGGGAGGGAATAATCAGCGAGAAAAGGGGGAGGAGAAGGGCTGTGTGGTGGGCATTCTCCTGTGTGCACTCTCTCCCTTACTCCCACCTCTGCCCTCTCGCCTCTCCCTTACTCCCACCTCTTTCCCCTCTCTCGTTGCTCCCATCTCTTTCTCTCAAGAGTGGTTAGCAACGGAATGGTTGGAATAGAAACGAGTGGGGTACAAATAAGCAACCCTAGAAGCTGTACCCCCTAGAGTGCAACTCACTACAGCCTATCATATCAATGTGCAACATTTGACACTTTCCCCCCTCTCCCTTACTCCCACCTCCGCCTTTTCCCGTCTCTCCCTTACTCAAACTTCTTTCCCGTTTCTCCCTTACCCATGCTTACCTTTGTTTCCTTCCTGCTCGAACTGTGGTTTTCCCTGATTACCCTGTGTTTCCCCCCAGCTTACCTTTTGTTTCCCGGCTGCCAACACTCTGTTGTTACTTTCCCCCTTGTTCCATTGTTTCCTGTCCTCTAAAACCCTCAGATTCTCCATAAGGCATCTGTTACTCTGTTACCCCTGTTATTGTGCGCTAGCTCTCCCCTTCCTTGCCCCTAATTTCTTACAATCTGTTTCTGCTCCCCCTGGCTTCTCCTTCCCCCCTTCCCTGTCCCTTCTGTGGTGCAGCTCGTCGATTATGAAGCAATGAACAAGACAAGCTAGGTAATAGCTACATTTAGGATAGTGAGGACAGATGCCATATCCAAACATCAAGTACATCAAGTTTCACAAACAAGAATTCTGTACATCCAAAAGGGACGAGCGTTGGCAAAGGTTTTTTACATCCTAGTGATGGCATTGGTGACGTTTGGTTATAATGTAAAGGTCTCTTTTCCGGAACACCGCTTCTTGAAGAGAGCAGGACACAGCTTTGCCCTGCACATAGTAATCCGCAGAAAGGATGGGGGAAGGGAGGGGAGATGGGAAAGGACAGGGCATGAGGAAGGGATGAGAGATGGGAGCATGGGAGGAGAAGAGACGCGGACGGAAAGGTAAGGGAAGGGAAGGGAAGGGAATGGAAGGGAATGGAAGGGAGGTGAGGGAAAGGTATTAGAAGGGAAAGGAAAGGAGACGATGGGGAGGGAAGTGCAGGGAGGAGGAGGGGAGGGACGGGAAAGAAAGGTAAGGAAGGGGAAAGAAAGGAATCTGAGGGGAATGACAGCAAAGGTATGGATAGTGGTTTGGAGGTATGAGGAGGAATGCGAGGGTTCGTGCGAAAGCAGTTGAGTACGAGATGCACTTCCCTCCCGTTACCCGCACCCGCCACGCCTCTGCCTCTGTCACCCACGCTGCTGTCACGCGGCTCATGAATGTGCACATCTTGTGCGCGTCGTCAAACGCGCAGTTGGCGGTCACGCGCGCCTGCAGGCGCAGGAGGCAAAAGGGCGGTTGGCGAACGCAGGCGAAGCGAGCAGCAGCCACGCGCACTGGGAAATGGGGGAGCAGGGGAGGAAATGAGTGAAAGGAGGGATGGGAATGAGGGGTTGGAGGGGGGAAATGGGGGGAGGAAAGGGGAATTTTCCGGAGAGAGGGGGGAGAGGGAAGGGAGGAGATAGAAAGAGGGGAGTGAGGGTGTGAGGGTGATAAGAAGGAAGGTGGTGAGGGATGGGAGGAGATAGGAGGAGGATGAGAGTTGTTGGGAGATGGGAAGAGAGTAGGGACGGAAAAGGGGGAGCCGAAGGAGGGGATAGGAAGCAGTGGGGAGAGGGAAATGAGGAGGTAGGAAGACGGGTGAGAGGGAATGTTGGAAATCTCCCGAGAGAGGGGTTGGGGGGGCCAGGGGGGGGAGAGGTGGACGGGGGAGAGAGGAGGACGGGGAAGAGAGGAGGACAGGGGGGAAAGAGGAGGAGGATGAGAGGAGGAGATACACGGTCTGCTAGAGGTTGCTCACCCTGAGGCTCATGGGGTCGACGCCAGGGGAGTGGACAGGCCGGGAGGAGGGTGACAGGGGGGTGAGAGGAGGACAGGGGGGAGAGAGAAGGACAGGGGGGAGAGAGGACAGGGGGGAGAGAGAGACAGGGGGGAGAGAGGAAGACAGGGGGGGGAGAGAAGGACAAGGGGGAGAGAGAAGGACAGGGGGGAGAGAGAAGGATAGGGCGGAGAGAGGATGACGGGGATTGGAGGGATGAGGAGGAATGCGCGGGTTCGTGTGAGCGCAGTTGAGTGCAAGATGCACTTCCCTTCCTAAACCCGCACCCACTACGCCTCTGCCCCTCGCAACCCCGCATTCTGCCACGGGACTAATGCAGACTCAATCACCACGCCCGCACTCGCCACTACCGGAGGGCGGAGAGGAAAGGTTCGGAGGGATGAGGAAAGGTGCTGGCGCATGAATGGCTGCATCTCGCGCATCTCGTCAAACGCGCATCTGGCGGTTCCGTGGCGGTGACGAGGCTGCAGACGCGGGTGGCGGAAGGGGGGAGGGGGGAAATGTAGACAAAGTTGTGGGGAAATGGGGTAGAGAACGGTGAAATGGGGGGAAGGAGGGGGAGACGTGAGGGAAAGCTGGGGTCGAGGGAAGGGAGGAGATAGAATGAGCTGAGAGAGGAGGGACGGGAGGAGATAGGAGGAGGAGGTGCGACCTGGGGGAACAGGGAGGTGCGTCCTGGGGGAAAGGGAGGTGCGACCTGAGGGGAAAGGGAGGTGCGACCTGGGGGGAAAAGGACATGCGACCTGGGGGGAAAGTGAGGTACGACCTGGGGGGAAAGTGAGGTGCGACCTGGGGGGAAAGTGAGGTGCGACCTGGGGGGAAAGTGAGGTGCGACCTAGGGGGAAAGTGAGGTGCGACCTGGGGGGAAAGGGACTTGCGGAACCTAGGGGGAAAGGGACTCGCGACCTGGGGGGAAGGGACTCGCGACCTGGGGGGAAGGGACTCGCGACCTAAGGTGGCGAGGACGCCGTGACAAAGGCGACGCGACTCGCAGGCGATGACGCTGCGCTGGGAACCCGCTGGGCATCCTATGTTCACTCCGCACCCCGTATGGCTTCATGAGTGTGGATCGCCGCATAAGGCTATCGGACGTGCGATAACTACTGTCTAACTAATAACGCGGTAGAGAAAACAGTGGCGTGGTTCCGTCACTCCCCAATGGGTTTGCCACAGGAACGGCCGCTACCCTGTACTCTCCTAGCAACGATCGCGGCTGCGAGTGTGGTGGCGTGGGAAAGGCGATACGACAGTTGCACATGGCGAGAATTGCGACTGTGTGGTGGGGTGGCGTGAAACAGGCGCTACGGGTGACGCTAGCGGGAATCGCGGCTCTTAGCGTGGCGTCGCGAAACAGACGTAGCGTGCGGGATTCGCGGCTTAGCGTGGTGGCTTGAAGAAGACGATACGGTACGCGCACCTGACCAGAATCGTTCATGTTTGAGTGGGGTGGCGTGAACCAGACGTTACGCTACACGCTGCTAGAATGAATCGCGGCTATCAGCGTGGCTGCGTGAAACAAACACTACACTACGCACTCCCCGCGTATTTCGCGACAGTGTATCACTTGGTGGCGTGGTGCACTCTGATGCGCTGCCTGCAGCCAGCGGGGATTTGCAGCCTAGAGTGGTGAGGTGAAGTTGCACGTTTGGGAGTTATGGTTATCAGGGCAAGCGTTTTCTTCCCCGCTTGGTTGTTTTGTGTTGGGCGCAGGGTCTTCCGCGATTCCGCGGATTACTTCCCCCAAGCAAACCAGCTTACGAAATCGTTTGTCATCGCCAGAGGTGTTTGAATTTCTCGCAACGGTGTTTGGGGAAGAAGCTCACTTCGCTCTCGAATCATGTTGGGCCAAAGGGTGTGCACTTAGATTACCCTCCGAAAATACCTTTTAGAATGTAGACCGCAGCTTTAAACCTTTAAACCCTGCCCTCGCGTGCCCCGCCCGCTACGCGACTGCGGGAAAAAGGAAATCCCGCGAGAGAAATCCTGCAGCGGCAAAGGGGGGTTCTCGGAGGGATCTGGCCGATTCCTTCCCAAGTACAAGTACCTCCTAATCCTCCAATTACTCCCAAGTACTAGTACCTCCTAATCCTCCGATTCCTCTTTTCGCCTTGTCGTTCCAATCGCAATTTCTCATTTTGGTATCCAAGATGGAGACTCCTACGAGCATCCACAGTCTGCCAGACGATATTCTCCTTATGATCATTACGCGCTCCTTCAAGCAGCCCGTTTCCTGCGAATCCTACGTTGACAGCGTCTGGACCTCAAGTTTTATTTATTGGTCGCTTTCCGATGAGTATTCAAATCAAACAAATGTGATAGACAAGACGCCAGTGCCAGCTTCTCCTCCAGACTCAGACGTGACTCAAGATCTCTTCATCGCGGCGTCCGTCTGCAGTCGTTGGCGCCGCGTGATGAAGCTTCACGTGACCACGCTGCTCGTTAAAGAAGGCCTCGCGGTATCTTGCGAAGATGTCTCAGCTGCCGTCGCGTGCTTCCCGAACCTCACTCATCTGCATCTCAGCGACAACAGCATCGGCGACGCCTTCCTCGCTCACCTCGCTGATTCGTGCCCGAAGCTGACTCGCCTCCACGTGGGGAGGACCTTTGCACTACCGGGGATCGAGGGCGACGGACTTCCTGTGTGCTACCATTATCGGAGGGAGAGGAATCGTATAAGTACGGAGGGATTGGATTTGTTCATCCAGAAGCTCCCGGACTTGAAGCAGCTTTCCCTCTTCTGCCTCCCAAGAGGAACAAAGTTACCGGACTCAGTCTTCCAGCTCAGACATCTGGACTGCCTTGTTGTCAATAACGCTTCACTGTTGGAGAGTCCAGGTTTCGAGAACCTCACTGCGCTCACCACTGCGTACATCACAGTCCCCATCACCCGTCAGCACTTGTCCAAACTCCTCCACCTCCCGCGATTGGCCCATCTTTCCACCTTCACCCCGCGCTCTAACCATCAGCCGACGTGTGCCGCAAGCGTGCCGCTGCCGTCGTGCATTAAATCTCTCGAGTTCTTAAGGAGCTGTCCTTATGAGGACGCCATGGTCTTCTCATCAGCATGGCAGTTCGCGGGGCTAGAGGAGCTGCTCATCACCGGCTGCAGAGGGTTAGAAACCCTTCCAGACTGCATCGGAGAATTTATGCCGTGCCTTCGCAAGCTGACGGTTGGCGGATGCGATGATTTCACTCACCTGCCTGAAACCGTCACTCTTCTGAGCCTGGAAACTCTCATCATCTCAGGCTGTTACGAATTTCATACCTTACCCAGCAGCTTCGATCACCTGCCCGCTTTAAAAGTCCTGGTGCTGGAGGATCTGCCTTTAACCGCACTCCCGCCTTCATTCTCTCATCTTACGACTCTGGAAGCACTCTTCATAACTAAGTGCTGGGAGTTTTGGCAGGTGCCAGCAGATGCCTTGTGTCTCACGGCTCTCAAGGTGCTCTGCATCTCCGAATCACATCAGGGTCTTGACTTGCCAGAGAATGTTGGGGGCCTTGGCAGCTTGGAGGCCCTCAGGTTGCATGGCTGCCGGCTTCCGGCTTCCTTCACCACCATCTCCTCCCTCACAAGCCTTGACCTGAACAAATGCTGGCCAGCCGAGCTTCCAGAAGCCTTGGGGGAGTTGAGCAGTCTACAGGAGCTGAAGATCGATCAGCTTGCAGTCAGCCAGCTTCCTGGCTCTCTAACGCGGCTTACTGCACTTCACACCCTCGAGGTCAGAAACTGCAACTCGCTCTCGGAAGCACCCATGGGGCTGGATGCGCTCGTGGGGCTGAAGCGGCTGGAGCTGACGGGATGTCGGCAGCTGAGTGAAGCCCCTGCTGGTCTGCCCCCTTCTCTTGAGACTCTCTGCTTGGGGCCCTTCAGGGAAGGCTCTTCCCTTGTTGTGGATATTTCCAAGCTGTCACAGCTGAGGGTGCTGAAGCTGAAGTGCGTTGGGGTTGTATGTGGGCATGCAGCGGCCGAGAGGTTGTTGGTCCTGGGACAGCAGGGGCCGATTCAGCAGCTGGAGCAGGAGTTTGAAGGAGTAAGCCAGGCGCCCCTGAATCAGCTGGAGGAGCTCGAGATGCGTCTCCAAGGAATGAGTCAGGAATTCCTGCTTCCCTCAAATGTTCTTCCTCGCCTGCGCAGCTTGCTCATAGACGCGCCGGGAATCTGCAGCCTCCCGGTAAACATGGCAGCAGCGGTGCCAGACCTACGGCAGCTGAAGCTTCTTTCATGGGCGCCGGAAGAGCTGCCACGTGCCATACTAGAGCTCTCAAGGCTGACGTCATTGACCATCCATGCACCACAGCTCACTTCACTACCTGAGGGCGTGAGCTGCTTGTCCCGGCTGCGCAAAGTGGAGTTGATTCGCTGCAGCGCCTTGCAGCACCTCCCGGAGAGCCTCACCCACGTGCAGCAGTTGGTGCTGCTGCAGGACACCTCCCTCCCCTCCCTTCCTGCGGGTCTGGTGCAGCTGCGTCCGCTGGAGGTCTCGCTTGCTGCTGAATGAGGCTGTTGTGGCCGCGGTGCAGGTGGGTGGGGTGCAGGTGGGTGGGGCACACATGCACACATGGTGCAGGTGAGTGGGGACAGAGGCTGGTTCCCCCGCTTATCTTCCAAGCTACCATTTATTATGCCTTGCCCTTTTTCCTTTACCCTCACTGGCGTCATCCATTGATCCTACCCTCATCCCTTTGACCGGTCACAATTGCCATCCTCAGAACTGTGCGTCATTTCAGGCAGCATGATGCGTGGCCTCTTTTTCAGCCTTCATCTTCCTTGTCTTTCCCTGCCTGTCATCACCTCTCCTTCTCTGCATTCTCGATTCGACAGGTGCACAGACAGAGCCAAGTTCATCCTGCTCTGCATGCCAATCTACTTCCGTACAGCAGTTTGCTGCTTGTGTTGCCTAGAATTTGGCGCGCCCGTCACTACCACTACCCATGGATCTCTAGAGCATGTGGCGAATTTGGCATTAAGCTGAGACCTTTTTGCTTCAAATTGCACCTGTTGGATGTTTGCTGTTTAATTTTGTGTTTGTTGTTTCACACTAAACTGAGTGTATGTGCCCATCCGGCACCGCACCATGACACATCTGCTGCACTGAAAGCGCAATGCAAGGGTGCACGGTGCAACGGTGGAAAGAAGGGCCAGCAGAATACGTGGCAGTTACTGGTGTTGCCATAGCATTGCATAGATCTTAGTGCGATAGAGCTCCGTGTCCGGTCGGCACGAGAGTGCTCAGTACAGTACCTCCGCCCAGCTTCCTTTTCGCCCTCCCTTATGGAGCTCGTCCATTTGCCTTGCCTGCGCCACCTCCCCTCCTCCCTCTCCCTCCTCCCTTTCCCTCGTTCCATGCCCCAACAAACATTCTTCAAGGCTGCACAGCACATTGCTGCACAGCACATCGCTGCACAGCACATCGCTGCACACGAACGGGCCTGGGCAGCTTGTTCCGTCTGGGGAAGGTCGGTGTGGCCAGGTGCTCAGAGCTTGAAGGGGTGCTGCGACTGCTGGGAAAGGATGACGTGATTCTAGTGAGGGGCGTGTGGTAGGGATTGTAGTGAAAGGGCATGCGTGAAGACAGGCAGGCAGTGCGGTCGAAAGCTATAAGTGGGCGAGATGGGCAGGGCATGTGGTGAATGCAACACCTGAAGGTTCAAGAGCAATAGAAATATGTCATTTTTCCAATATATATTTCTAATCTATCATGCCTTTCCAGAATCCCTAGCCTCCATCATTTGCCTCCAGGGCTCCATGGCCCTCGCTATAATCACATCTGCTATAAGCCTACAGCAAGTCCTTGACCATTTCTCCAATCCCCTACACACAGAGAGCATCACCCCGACAAGCCACGCCTACAGTGGCGACAGCAGGAGGGAAATGGAAGGCCATGCAGTGGGGGTCGTGACTCGAGAGGGAGAGGGCGGGCAAGCAATTCCTGTATCACGTCCACCTCTAGCTCATGCACGCGCCATTTGTGGGGCCGGTCCGTTCCCCATCGGCTGATGCAGGCAACACCAGTGCGCTCACCCCCTCACTACAATCACATCTGCCACGAAGCGCAGCCCCCTGGTGCCATTGACACAGTAGGAGTCGACGAGGAAGGCCACGTCCACCACCGCCCCTGCTGGTAGAGCCGCGGCCACCATGTGTGGGTCAACGGGCAGGTGCAGCTGCTGCGGGTCCACAGGGTGAAGCTGCTGCGATGCGGGTGACTGCTGCTTGCTGTCGTTGCTGGTGGCGCCTGTGGGAGAGCCGGTGCTGACATTGGCTGGGTTGAGAGCGGTTGTGTGCGGTGCAGCACAGGAGAAGAACTTGGTGCGCCACTCAGCATTCCCCCTCACGCCATCAGCTGCCAGCCTGGCAAGATGCGGTGGGGAATGAGTTAAAACAGGGAGGAGGAGGGGAAGAGGGAGGGGGAAGAGGTAGAGGGAGAATATTGCAGGAAATTGAAGGGGGGGAGTGCAATTGTGTGAGCAATAGCACGGAGGTGGAAGCGGTGCGTCTAGAATAACGGTTAAAAGGCACATAGTTCATCAAGAGCCAGACCATGATGATGCCAAAGCACCAGACTAGACTCACTTGACGCGGATCACTCTCCTGCCATCCTCGTCCTCCCATGTCGCCACAAAGGGCGACCGCACCTCCTCCCTGCACCCACCACGCCTCTCCTCTTCTTCCGCGCCCTTTACCCCTGCTGCTGCTGCCTCCTTGCAATCCCCCCCACTGCTGCTGCCACTCCCCACGCATGCCAGCAGTGCGTCGAAGCAAGCAGTGATGGCGGCAGCAGCGGCGGGCGAGACGGCGAGGAGCAAAGAGAAGGACGGGCGCCCTGATGCCTCATCAAAGGCAAAGCGGTCCGACACACTGGTAAGGAGGACGGATGAGACAGGGGGAGAGGGCGAGAGGGGTGAAGGACGGCCAGCCTGTTGCCCCGTCAAAGGCAAAATGGTCTGACACACTAGCGGGGGAGAGGGGAGGAAAGAGAGAGAAGTGGGTGTCGGACCGCCTCTCTCTCTCTCTCTCGGGGGCTGAGGGGGGGAGGGGGGGGGGGGTGAGGTGTGAGTTGATGGGCTTATGGGATCGAGGTTATCATGGATAGAACTGCATATCTGTACCCCTGCTGAATTAATACAACGGACCATTTGAGAGGGGGAAGAGGGGAAGATTGGAAGGCGGGTGAAGAGGGGGGAGATAGCCAGGAGGTGGGGATGGAGGGAGAAGGACGGGCTGCCAGTCGCCTCGTCATATCCAAAGCGGTACCACACTGGTGGGAGGAGGGGAGGGGGGGAGAGGGCGGGGAATGTGGAGATGGCAAGAGAGGGGGAGAGGGGAGAAGGACGGGCAGCCCGTCGCCTCATCAGATCCAAAGCAGTACGACACACTGGTGGGGGAGGGGAGGGGAGAGAGGTGGAGAGAGGACGCGAGGCGAGGGGATTTGTGCATTAGGCAGGACAGGAGATGAGGATGTGGAAGATTGAGAAGTCTAAAGTTGACAGGCACCACTACAAGGCCAGAAGAGGAAAAGCAGGTTTCGGTGCATGATGAAGAGGCAAAGGAATATAGGAATGCACCGGAGAGGCGCGAGGAGGGAAAGAACAAAGTTGTTAAAATCGTATGCTCTTATCGAGCTCGTTCAGCATCCACCAGGCACACTCCCACTCACCGTGCTCAAATCCTCTCATCGTTTCAGCGCAACCTCGTCACAAGTGCCCTCACCGCCATGACCTTAGCGTCATCGTCCCATCGAAAGACAGCTTGTCTCATGGTCAACACACGTCACCATGCCTCAGTCTAGAGAATTTCTTCATTCCAATGAACCCCAGACATCAACACTCGTGAGCACCACGCACCTCATCTTGATCCTCGCTCCACACTCCCTCACGTGCAGTGACCGCCCATTGTACAACAGCAGCACACGCGCCGGCGTACCCTCCACTGCAGCACCGGCATCATGAGCATCAGATGGTGGCTGTGGCGTGAGGCCATTCGGGTACACCCGAGCAATCCCTCCCCTCAAGCTGTACCGCCTGCCCCCTCCCCACCCGCTGCCCCTGCTGCCTCTGCTGCTGCCGTTCCCTGCATTGCCGCCTGCAGCACCACTACCAGCAGCAGCAGCAGGCACGCACAGTGCCTGCAGCCAGAAGGGGTCGAAGTGAGCGCAAGTGATGGCCCAGGGGCCGCCCTCCTTGGCGTGCTGCTCCTGCTGCTGCTGCCACCACTGCGGACACACCACGCACTCGACACCTGCCTGCCTTTCCCCCGCCTGCTCCTCCCTCCCCCCCTCCCCCTGTGCCTCGCCGCCCTCTTTGCCCTCTCCCTTGCTTAAAGGAATGCTCTCTGTGTGCTTGTCTTTCTTGTGGAATCTTGCTTCCTTATAATCACATTCCTCCCATTCCTCCCATTCCTCCTCTTCCTCCTCTTCCTCCTCTTCCTCCTCTTTCTCCTCTTCCTCCTCTTCCTCCTCTTCCTCCTCTTCCTCCTCTTCCTCCTCCTTCCCCACCACCTCCCCATCCTCAAGTTCCCCCTCAGCATCTCCCTCCTCCGACTTGGCTTGGCTGGCACCAGCAACCAGATTCTGACACGTGGCAGCAGAGTCAATCTTCAAGGACTCTAACGCCCGACTTAGCAAAACTGACGTGGCAGACACCACCACAGCCGATGACGCAGCGGCACTAACAGCAGGAGATTGAGCACTGGGTGAGGATACACCTGCTGCTGATTTTGCTGTTGCTGTTGCTGTTGCTGTTGCTGTTGCTGTTGCTGTTGCTGTTGCTGTTGCTGTTGCTGTTGCTGCTCCTACTAAGGATGAGACTGCTGGTGAGGCGTTCTTTGCTGCTGCTAGTTTCTGTGTTGCTGGTGTTGCTGCTGCTGGTTTCTGTGTTGCTGGTGTTGCTGCTGCTGGTTTCTGTGTTGCTGGTGTTGCTGCTGCCACTGCGTTGGCTGCTGAAGCAGCTGCTGCCTTCACAGCTGCAGTCGCATCAGCGGTGGCGGTGTGTCGTGGGGGTGTCTTGCTGCGAGGCAGGGTAGAGGGCGCGTGGAAGAGAGTAGGGTGACACATTTCCTGCATACGACGAGTGGATGAAAGGGGAGAGATGGATGAAAGGGGAGAGGTGGATGAAAGGGGAGAGGTGGATGAAAGGGGAGAGGTGGATGAAAGGGGAGAGGTGGATGAAAGGGGAGAAAGTGGGATGGAGGAGGTAAAGGTGACGATGTGATGCAGGGAAAGAGTATGCAAGAAATACTTAGACCCATGTATTTCTCACAACATTCCCACAGGAAACTGCCTTCTTATTTTGCTCACACGTCAACCTCAAACATTTCTGAGTGACGGTTTGGTCTCTGGCAGTCCCCGAAAAGGGAGGTCCTACCGAGAATTGAACTCGGCCTTTCAGATTCAGAGTCTGACGTCATGACCACTAGACCATAGGACCACGGTTGCGGTGTAAACATCACATAATTGTAGCTGGAAAACGATTGGACCACAATGATTCCACCACTCCTTATGTGACAAATACATGTGGTAGTGTATGTGAGAAAGGCAGCAAGTGTGCATGCGAGCATGGGCCATGGCACAGCAAGGGCAGCTCACCAGCATGAGCATGGCGGAGCACTGCTTGAAAACGTCAATGTTCATCCTCACGTCCTCCATCGCCCTGCCATGCCATGCAGTCGATATAGACATCACGTCAACACAGCCAACAGAGTCAACGCAGTCAACATGCAACAGGGTCAAACAGTCAACGCAGTAAGCGAAGTCAACGTAGTCAACAGCAAGAGCCACGAGTAGGGCTATACGCAAACTGACAGGAGCAGCAGCACCTTCAGGTCAACTCGCACTACTTGAGCCTCTCCCTCAGGTCTTGAGCTCACTCCCCACTCACAGCTCATGACTCACAACTCCCGACTCGAAAAGTGAATCCCACCTCCGTGCTTGACATCCCACGGCTGACTCACCTTGACTCAACCCATCTCAAGGCTGACTCAGCTTGACTCAACCCATCTCACGGCTGACTCAGCTTGACTCAGGGCCCACCTGTGCACTTGCATGCCCAGGCCGCAGTAGGCTCCCAGCGATGCCATCTTTTGGGATGAAGGGGAGGGAACGAACAGATGGCATGGAGGAGGAGGAGTGCATTGAGAAGATTGATGAGGACAACATGATCGGAGGAAGATGGTGAAAGGAAGGCCAGAGGACCTTGACGAGAAAGAAGCAGTGCGATTGCAATGACCAGCCCTGACGCCTCCCTTGCCACCTGTATCCCTCCACGTCCCTCTTCTCCCGGTAACAGGGCACACGTGGCCACCACTCCACCAGTCAATAGCTGCACCTACCAACCCTTGCCCTCGCCACCTGCTTGTGCGTGTGTGAGATCCATACCTTGGAATCACCCGCCCCTGTGCCGAGCTCACCTTTCATCACACACACTCATCAAACGCAGGCAGTGGCGATCCTTGTCCAACCCTCACACCACATTCGTCCACTGCCCCAGTCCTCACTCATGCTATGCTGCCCCGCCTGCCGCCGCCCAACTCCCTACTCGCCAGGCAGCACAGGCGCGCACATGCACCCTAGCTTCGCCACCATCTACTGGCCTCGCCACCATCTACTGCCCTGCCCATACCACCTCGCTGCCTGCTCGATTGCCCAAGTCCTGCCCGGGCAGGTCGTACGTGTCTACTACTCTGGCCGGACGGCATGGGCAGGACCATGTGCCATGCCAACATGTGCTCCTGTTACCGCCCTTACCACTCCACCCTTACCTTTATCCTTCATGCTACCACCTCTCACTCGCACAGCACAGCACACGACCCACGACACAGCAGCACCCGTCACCTCCATGTGACCTCCATGTCGCCAGCCCACATGCCCAACTCCATGTCACGAGCCCACATGCCCACGTGGCCACCACTCCATGCGCTGCGCCTACCAACCCTTACCCTCGCCGCCTGGTTGTGCGTGTGTGAGATCCATACCTTGGAATCACCCGCCCTTGTTCCCACCTCCCTTGTCACCACGCACACTCCTCACACGCAGGCACGGGCGAGCCTTGCCTGTCCTCACATTCGCCCACACGACATTCGCCCACACGACATTCGCCCACACGACATTCGCCCACACGACATTCGCCCACACGACATTCGCCCACATGACATTCGCCCACACGACATTCGCCCATTGCCCTGCCAGTCCTCACATTCATGCCATCCCGCCTGGCGCCCAACTCCCTCCTCGCCAAGCACCACACATTTGCCCTAGCCTCACCTCGCCTCACCTCGACTCACCTCGACTCACCTCGACTCACCTCGACTCACCTCGACTCACCTCGACTCACCTCGACTCACCTCGACTCACCTCGACTCACCTCGACTCACCTCGCCTCACCTCGCCTCGCCTCGCCTCGCCTCGCCTCGCCTCGCCTCGCCTCGCCTCGCCTCGCCTCGCCTCGCCTCGCCTCGCCTCGCCTCGCCTCGCCTCGCCTCGCCTCGCCTCGCCTCGCCTCGCCTCGCCTCGCCTCGCCTCGCCACCATGTACTGCCCTGCCCATACCACCTTGCTGCCTGCTTGAGTACCTAACTCCTGCCCGAGCAGGTCGTATGTGTCCACTACGCTGGGCGAAGGCATGCGTGGAACCATGCCACATGTAACATGTGCTCCTGTTACAGCCCTTACCACACCACCCTTACCTTCATCGTTCATGCTACCACCTCTTATTCGCACACCACACGACCCACAACACAGCAGCACCCGTCACCTCCATGCCACCTCCATGTCGCCAGCCCACATGCCCAACTCCCTGCTCAGCAGGTCTACGAGGCTACCACCCCAGCTGGAAGGAACAGCCTGGAGATATGCTAGCATGGCCTCCATCCACTGCCCTTGCCACCCCACCCTCACTCTTATTCATGATTCCACCACCTCCCAGTCATGTAACATGTTGGCGCTTCTCACTCGCACATCACACAGCACACCTTCATGTTGCCAGCTCGCGTGCCGAACTCTCTCCTCAGCAGGTCGTACGTGTCCACCACGCCAGCCGGCACAGGCGGCGCTCGGCCCAGGCTGCTGAAGGCCTCTCGGATGCGCGCGTTGTCAAACCGGCTGATGTTGTGGCCCGCCCACACCTTCCCTGGTGCCCAAACGAGCACGGAGAGGAGAGACGTGGAGCACGACGGTAAGGGGATCCCAATCTGATTAAATAAGGGATGACGCAAGGCGACTGCGACCTTGAGATGCCTAATCATGTGGCTCACGCCGTAGAAAAACAGCAAGAGGCGGTGGGGAGGGGAGCGGGAATGAGTGATCGCGATGAAAGTGACTGCGAGCAAGCCAGGGTAGAAAAGCGATGTAAGAGGTGACGTCATCGAGGCGTACCGTCCATGAGCTCGTAAATCCTATCCGCCACTTCGCCAAAGCTCGGCGCGTTGCGCACCGTGTCGCTCGTGATCCCGTTGATCTCCACCGTCCGTCGCGAAATACGGACTCCCTCCGGCGGCCGCAGGTACGTGGAGTAGCTCGAAGTTTCGTAGAAACCCTCGATTTCGAGCTCAACAGCGGCAAATTCGAGCATCGCGTGCTTCTCGCCTCGCGCGGCCGGCACGGTCGTCTCGACGTCGTAAAACACTATCGCGCGCCGCCTCGCGCTCGAACTCGCGCCGGCACGCGGGGGAGAGCTGGGGAGAGATGGCGCCATCCACGCAGGGAGAATGAGTCACGGGGTAGATGAGAATTCTCAAAATCAGCTTCAAACAGATTTTAGTCACCGGTAGGCGGCGATGAAAAGACGGAGCGTGCTGTGAACAAACGAGAAGACGAGGAGGTCACGAGGAGTTGACGGGTGTAAGTATCGAAGGGCTCTATTTGTAGACTGGGTTGAACGAGGGGATGGGAAGCAGGGGCGTGATACTGGGAGGCGAGGGCGTGGATGCGCATGGCTGCGAGAAATACGGCCGGGACTCGGACTAATTGGAGGATAAGATGCTAACGCGAATTTGGCGGGGAGCGGGGCGAGGGTAGGCAAGAATGATGGGTGAGAATGTGACTTCAGGATGACGCGAGCCTCGGATGTGGGTTGTGTGGATTGCACTTCAACACAGCGAAAGCATGCCCGAATGAACTCCGAACCGAAATCTTCACGGCTTGGCATGAAAGCACCAAAGCAGTGCAGGTTCCAACAAGCTCCCGAGCCTGTAGAAGGTTTTGTCAAGAAGCACAGCGCTCCTCTGCAACCAGCAGCACCGCGCTGAATAATGTACCCCCAACCTCACGGATTTGACGAGTTAGGTTTTGTTTGGAAGGGAGGGCGGCCATCTCGGCGGAGAATATGCGACATAGCAACAATCGAAGCAGTCGATAACAGCAGTAGTAAAAAACAGCCCGATGGTCTGTATAGAATGATTCAAATAAAATTTCCTAGTTTATGTAACACATGTGCTTTCTATTGCTGTAATTTTTACAGGGTACCTAGGATTTCACATATTGTGAATTAATACATTCCATATTTTTACGTGCATATGTTAGGCTAGGTTGTGTTACTCTGTAAAAGGTACAAATTGTACAATACTGTATGCCCCTGAGTAGTTATTCTTGCTTTCCGACGTAATATCATTTGTAGGTTTATGTACGACGTTATCACATTGTAACACCGGAATGAGTGCATTATGGATGGGAGCAGTATAAATAGCAACCCTAAAAATGTGTTGTACTCCCCACAATGCTACTCACTGCAGCCTAACAAGATATTATGACATTTGACATACGCACATAGGCTAAGTGAGGTGCATCAAAACAAGCAAGAAGAAGAGCGGTCACCAGACCAGTCAATAAAAACAACAAAACAAAGCTCAGGATGGATCTCAAAGTCACCACACACCCCGTGCACAAACAGAAAACAACAAGGCCAGTTCAAGAAATCATAAGTATATACAGAAACAACGACACGTGGAGCAACCGAGCACCAGCGTCAATAAGGTTGCTGTAGCCTTGTTCACCACCGCCTTAGTCACCCCTCGGTGCAGCGCCTTCGTGGCATGAACTCCCGGTACCTTGTCTTTGGTCTTCCCAGGGTTCTCTCTCCCCTCCCACCCTCGCCTGCTCCTCCCTGTCTTCCCTGTGTCGAGGGGCAATAGCGCACCACTCCTCACTCCTCGTTCCCTCCCACAGAGGCTCCCCTGCAGACTCTCCACCTGGACGTGTGGGGCCCAGCCTGCGTCCGTGGAAAAGGCCACGAACGGTACTTCCTGCTGGTCGTCGACGACTACATGCGCTACACCACGGTCTTCTTTTTGTGCACCAAGGGTGAGGTCCCTGATGTTTTGATCCCTTGGATCCGCGCTACTCGTCTCCAGCTCCGCAAGCGGTTCTAGTCGGACTATCGTGTCCTGCGTCTGCACTCGGACAGGGGTGGTGAGTTTTTCTCCGACCTCTTGGCAGCCCACTGTGCGGAGCATGGCATTAGCCACATATTCACGCTTCCGGCCTCTCCACAGAACAATGGGGTTGCTGAGCGCCGCATTGGCGCGGTCGCTCGTACCTCCATGATCCATGCGGCTGCCCCCCATTTCCTGTGGCCGTTTGCAGTGCAGTAAGCTGCACATCAGCTCAACCTCTCGCCCCGTATCTCTGCTTCGGAGACCTCGCCCACATTGCGTTGGTCGGGGAGGTTGGCGATGCGTCTATGTTCCGGGTCTGGGGATGTCGAGCCTTTGTCCGCGATACGTCCGCGGACAAGCTCTCCTCCCGTGTTGTTCCCTGTGTCTTCCTTGGCTTTGTCCCTGACGCGCCTGGCTGGCAGTTCTACCACCCCACCTCGCGCCATGTCTTCCCCTCTCAGGACATCAATTTTGACGACTCGGTACCCTTTTACTGTCTGTTCCCCTACTGCACTGCGCCAGCCCCCCCCCCGCCTCTCTTCCTCACCGCAAGTATCGCTTTGGTAGACCCCCTCCCTCCCAAGGGTCCTACTCCCTCAGGTGTTTCCCAGGTAGACCCGGTCGAGCCTGTCAAGGTAGTTGTCGACTCTTGTCCTGAGACTGGGGGTGCTGAGACTGGGGGTGCTGAGCCTGGGGGTGCTGAGACTGGGGGTGCTGAGCCTGGGGGTACTGAGCCTTGGGGTGCTGAGACTAAGGGTGCTGAGCCTGGGGGAGCTGAGACTGACCGTGCTGCGCCTGGTGGCGCTCCCTCTTCACAACAGCTGCGTGAGTGGTACTCTCGGCGCTGCAGCCTCCGGAGCGGTGCTCCTAGCGCTGGGGTGTCGCCCGCTGGAGGCCCTGGTTCTGCTGGAGGTACTACTAGTGCTTGAGCTTCAAGAGTTGGCGCTACTAGAGGTACTACTGGTGCTAAATCTGCTGGAGGTACTGCTGGTGCTGGAGTTGGAGGTGCTGAGCTACTCGAGCTGCCGGTGGAGCCAAGGACGCTGGGCCTACTGCCTGGTGCTGAGCTGGAGGTGCTGACGCTCGTCCTCCTGTAGGTGCTGGAGCCGACGGTGCGGTTGGAGCTGGCGCTACTAGGGGTACTGGAGTTGGCACTACTTGAGCTGCTCATGGTGCTACAGGAGTTGGAGCTGCTGCTGGGGGTTCTGGTGCTGTCTCTGGTGGTTCTGGAGGCGCTTCACGGCCGCGGCCGTACTTCGTTCCGCTCCTTCAGCATGTTCTAGGTCAGCCGCCTCCTCCTTGTCCTGCTCCCCCCTTTGAGTGTCCTCCGCCTGTCCAGTCGCAGTCATAGTTACAGCCTACCTCGCCACTCCCTGGTCCTTCTCCCTACACTGGTCCAATAGGAGGTCTTACGGAGCGTCGTGAGCCTGAGTCTCGTCCTGTCTCGCCTGAGTCTCGTTCTGCGTCACCTGTTTGTGCTGCTCGCACTGGTCGTCGTGTCCCGCGTCAGCATCCTCCTGCTGTCCCAGGCACTCACTAGATGACGCTTCGTCCTTCCACTGCTCCACCTCATGTCCCTCTACTTTCTCCTCCCACGTCCTCTCTTCCTGCCCTTGCTGACCCTAAGTCTGACTCTCTTCGTGCTGCTAGTCCTATTGTCATGCTTCTTGTGGCCACCGCTGTCACTGACCCTTCCTTTGTGTCCACTTCTGCGTCTGCCTTAGTTGCTGAGCTTTGAGGAAATGAGAACGAGAATGAATGGACTATGAATCAACTGAGTACAAGTACTAACCCTAATTGGGTTGTACCCCTTATGGGCTAGCAAGAAAGTAGCGGAGAGCAATGTGCTTCGTTCTGTGCTCTACTCGCAGCTCTTGACACAAGGCCAGCATGGCCTTGTTGTCTACGTACAGCATTGGAGGAGAACGAGGCGGCTCTCTAAGGTCAGTCAGCAGGTAGGTGAGCAAGCGAAGCTCCTGTGCAGCCATGGCCCCGGCGTAGATCTCAGCCTCACAACTGGAGCCGAGAACAGAAGACGAGCGAGTAGCCCGCCACGAAACAGAGCCGGAACCAAGACTGAAGGTGTAACCCTGCAACGACCGCTGAGTAGCCTGGTCGTCAGCCCAAAGAGCGTCCGCGTGCCCAGTGAGGACCACTGGACTCCGCCCTCCAAGCACTAGCCCCATGCCCGACGTACTGCACAAGTAGCGCAACACCCTCTTCGCTGCAGCCATATGCTCTGGTCGGTGTCTCCCAGGAGCAACATAGCGTGCAAGAATGCTAACAGGGTATGCAAGGTCAGGTCGTGTGCAGGTCATCAAGTACATGAGGCAGCCAACAAGCTCTGGGTACGGGCCACTCAACTCTACGGACTCATTCGAAGGCAGAGCTGAGAGCGAGTGGCGAGTAGACAGAGGAGTGGCTTGAGGCGAGGAGTACGTTAAGCCGAAGCGCTGAAGGACTTGCTGCACCATGTGTGACTGAGTCAAGGTAATGGTGCGGCGTGCTCTGTCCCAGGAGATCTGCAAGCCAAGGTAGCTGCGCAGTTCACCCAGGTCTGTGCACGTGTGTCTCTTCAGCAGCTCAGACTTCACGTAGGCGAGTCCTGCAGTGTCAGCTGTGGCAAAGACCAAGTCGTCGACGTACACGAGGATGTAGAACGGCGGCAGAGAGGTGTCGGAGCGCAGAAACAACGACGGGTCAGCAGTAGAGGGAGCAAACCCAAGAGCCGCAAGCGTAGTCCTCAGTGTGTCGTGCCACTTACGCGGTGCCCGGCGGAGACCGTAGACTGGCCATCAGAGGCTCCACTGGGTGCCAGGAGGGAAAGTCCCAGTGAAGCCAGGTGGACGGCGCAGCCAGATCTCCTCGTGCCGGCTACCCTGCAAGAAAGAAGTGCTGAAGTCAAGAGAGTGAAGCTCGTAGTCGCACTGAGCGGCTATGTGCAGCAGCACCCGAAGAGTGGTCATCTTCGGGGTGGGAGAGAAGGTCTGAAAGTAGTCAACTCCCTGCCGCTGATTGAAGCCACGAGCAACGTACCGCGCCTTGAAGACAGGTGGAGAGCCCGGCGGCCGCTTCACCCTGAAGATCCACATGCCACTGACGATGTTCGCCCCACGAGGGGGAACCGCGTCAACGTAGGTGCCTGTGGACTTCCAGGAAGCCATCTCTGCATCCATAGCTGCCTGCCACTGAGAGGAGT